CCCCCCCCCATAACAAATTAATGACGCATAATACTTATGATAATACAAATTTCATATTCAGGTGACTCGAGCATGTATGTGTAGGGAGGGAGGGGGCTCTGCCTATGGACCTGCACTGGGGAGGCCCAGTGACATGCTCTTTAGTGCTTCAAATTTAGCGCTCTGTTGACTCCCCGGTTTTGGGTTTGACCAAACAGCATCTCCCCTCCCCCCCCTCCCCAAACCACTCACACTGGAAATTTCTGTCTAAGCCCCAGCAACGACACCCTGTATTGTTATGGTTTTAGCATGGTACCGTGCTTGCTATAAAAAGAACGTGTTGTTGAGTTTCATGAGCAATTCATTACTAACAATTACCTTTGTATATTTGTCGCATATACAGGAACATCGAGGGTCTTTTTAATTAGAATTCATAAGCGCATGCAAAAAATAAGAGCAAATCGTCAATTAAAGATTCAGTATAAGTGTAATTAGGTCGACAAGTTGTCCATTTGGGGTTACCCAGACAAAACAATAAGCTTTAAGCTGCTGGTGAGGGAAACATGTGATCCCTCATAACCCAAAAGCCCCGCTCAAAACTCATAAGGAAATCGTAAGGGAGATGTGTGGTAACTGTTTACCCAGTCTGTTAATAAGTAACAATAGACGTCAACATGACGTGTGTGTCTCCGTCACGCAGAAAATGGGATTGTTCACAGCACTTCCCGCTTCTCACACATATTTTACATACGCTTATGGTTTAAATCACAGTTCACCAATGACATTTTTATTGGCAAAACTTGTAACAAGAAATTGACTTTTACAGTGAACACATTTTTTGCACAAAAGGATTTTAAAAAATGAGCTCAATATAGATAGCGTTACGATAACAAAAAAACATGTCCTTGCTTTTAAAAGCGATATTGTCTCAGCAGTAGACCTTTTTAAAATCTGCAGAAACCACCCAGTTGGATTTTAAAATTAGTATTTATTAAGGAATTTTCTAGAATACAGCGGAGACAAAAAAGTAGAGACGTGTCACTCCTCGATTTAGGCGAGATTGGGGTCAGGCATCCGGTGAACGTTTCACGCCGTACAACTAATAGTCTGTTCCTCACAACCGAGGAATCATTCTATTGTTTTCATAGTAAATAAAGCAAGTGGGTTTGTCTGAATTAGTTTTAAACACCATTTCTCTTTCTTTACCGTCACGTCATACCCACATCCACACATTAAAGATGGAGTTAGAACATTCTAGTAATTCTACTCAAAATTTTGATTAAAAATTCAAAAATACCTTACTGCTTGTTTCCTCTCGGTCAGTATAATTATTGGCCTGTCTGTTGGTCACGTCCCCTAGCCTTATTCCTGGCCCGCATCTCATTGCATTAGTGCGCACAATACGCCAAATCTTTTCTATTCTTCTACTTCTACTTCTTTTTCTTCGTCATTTTCTTCTTGTTCTTGTTTTTCTTCATCTTCTTCTTCCTCTTCTTTCTTCTTGATCTTCTTTTTCTCCTCCTCCTCCTCCTCCTCCTCCTCCTCCTCCT